AGATACACGCAAACGCGCCTCAGCACGTAGTCAAAGAATTCATTGATGTTTACTCCTGAGGTTCGTGATCTAAAAGTTAAATGTTTGTCGTAACAATTTGACATGATAAATTTTGTTGATAACATATCTTAGGTAGTAAAAAAATTAATAGATACAATATATGTATCTCACTGTTTATTTGCAATATACACTATTAAAAATTGTGCACTACATACACCAGAAGTAAAACGAACAGGGTCTTCACTAGGCACTTATCCATTATAGTTGTTATTAATGCAGTTCTTCTCACATTTTGATAACGTTAACTTCAATTTGTGAAGATTTTATGCTTGACAGGTGAAGAGCTTAATTTGCATTATAATGTATACATTTGAAGTAATTTCATATTTGTTTTACAATATTTCTTGAATTTCGTAACCGTTTCATTATTTAGAGGGTCTTCTATTTTCATTTTCCGCTTTGTAACTTGTATAATGTCAAGTTTTGTGTACTTTTGTGATTTTCTCCGAAGAATGTTCATTTGTTATTTCGTACGAATGATCAATTATTGCTGGTAGAATGAAAATATGTTAATTCTTTGAGTGATGCTGGAGGGGGCGCTGGAGATGTTAGCGTGAGGTCCACTACCACGTCATCTCTTCCCATGGGCCTACACGTGATGCAATGTCTTGGTCTATATATGACCTCCTAGACTGAAGGTAGTCGTGCCCTAGAGCATAGCGCATACAGTGAGCTCTACTGAAGACTGGAGACGACACTGTTCTCTGCAATCGTGAAGGTCCGCCATAATGGTGGACGTCTATTTTGTTCTTGTTATATCAGAACTAAATTGCAGGAATTAGCGTCTCATTCCAATTTTCAACTTTTATCCTATTATAAACGTATACACTAAAACTTAATAAAAGATGGAAAGTAGCCAATATTTAATACTTTGAAATTGCAATTTATCTACAATACTTTAACAAAATCCAGTACTCCATTCCATGGAAACTTTTTTAAGATATTCGCAAAGGAGTATTCTTGGTTTGTGTATATTTAATAATTCCGTTAGATCAACTGTTAGAAAATAATAATAAAAATATTATTGTATTAATGACTACCTTATAATATCTCATCTAACAACTTTCGCATCTAGTTTACAGTTTTTTGGCGTTCTTTACAACCTAATGATATGCAATACTTTGGCATTTTCGGTGACAGACGATTGTACGTATCACTGTAACACACAAGATATATTTAGCTCGCAAAAAAAGTATGTAGGTAGACGTTCACCGCAGCCAACATAAAGAAAAATGATCGTCATGATTGTCAGCATTTTAAAGCATTGCAGTTGCGCATCCAGCAATGACGTTGAGATCACTCAGCGTATGTTCTTAATGGAGAAGTGATTATAAAGATATGATACAATTATTATTTCACTCATGACTACCCATATTATGTTTACCTTTTTGTTGTTATTCATAACAATTGTTTTATGTTCATAATAGCTTGTGAGCATCGATATTAAAATGAGACGGTTGGTGTGGTAATATTGTAATATTAATAATTTTAAAAGATTGGGCAATTAATACGCGAACATACGATGGTGAAGGGTACAAAGAATATGCTATCAGAACTGCGTGGAGCGTAACAGCCAAAATTATTCAGGAAAATACTTGATTTAGTACAAACGTATGTTGAATCCAATCAAAATTGACGAATTCTGCTGCTTTTTTAGCTTCTACTACGTCTTCCGTTTTAAATACTTCCTTGGAATCTCAACACACGGAAAACACAACTACCTACAACTTAAGTAATTGTGTTTTTGATAAATGTTATTGTAAGTAGTTTTTAAATAATTGTTTTATGAAAGTTTTGTTACCATGTAATTGAAACAAAGTGGAAATAATTTTCTGAATTAAACTGTTAATCATATTTTTCTTGGATATATGTTATTCCAGGCCCTCGTTGGCTTTCCATGGCGCGACCCCGGGTTCGATTGCCGGCCGGGGTAAAATTGTAAGAGTACGCTATTCTTACAAATGTCCCATCATCTATTGCTGTATGACGATGAGGAAGCCCACCCTAGTTTGATCGTTACATCGCAGGTTGCCCCAGTTGAGAATAGAGAAGAAACTAGTGGTCTGCAATGGCAATGACTTTCCCGTTTTCGTTTTCTATTTCCTTTGGTTTCGGCAAGCTATTCGGACTTGCCACATACTCTTGCCAGCTGCCATTTATTACCGCGGAAAGTACATTTGAAAAAAAATGATCGATTTTTCGGTCTCGTAATAGTAGAACAAAAATATTATTTTAAGAATATGAAAGAACAGTAAAACCTCGTCCTAAAGGGCACTTTCCTTTAACAAATTTGGAGCCGTTTTTATGAAATTGGCGTTTAAGCGCTACTGTAAATTCAATATTTGAAGCTCCTTTTCACAGAACAATTTTGAGTTTCCGAAACACTTTATTAGAAGTCATTTAACGCACATTAATTACAAATACAATAGTATGTACAAATTTGTGGAAATATGCATGTTAACGACGTGAGAGATCTTACGAAAAAATTACATTTGTAAAATTTTAGTAAAAACAAAAAATACCCCAAAATGAACTTTAAGTCATATTAAACAGTGCAATTTTCACTATCGCTTCGAAAAGTTTTAAGAAAAATTTGAAGCTGTTTTGAGAAAATGGCGTTTGAGCGTTTCTAAAATGTCGAAATTGTTAAAATTTTCAGAAAATTCTACATGACCATAATGAAATAACTCACCATGGACAATACATTTTAAAGGAAGGTAAAAATCTGCATTTAATTTTGTGGATGTAGAAAGACGACGAAAAATTCAAACTTTTGAAATTTTTGAAAATTCGGGCTTAACCGTGAAAATCAGATCTTTGTGGCTTTTATAAGTGTATTTTACTCCATTCTTACAAGAAATTTAAAGAAAAAAATTAGAACCGTTTTGAAAAAAGTTTGAAAATATACGGGAGGCTTCTTGTAAAGTACCCTCAAATTTTGAAGTTTTCAGAATTGTTGTGCATCGAGTGGAGCCGTACGTATAGTTTAGGCGCCAGTGGTGTTCACAGACGGATAGATAGACGGACAGACGTTCGGTCGTTTAAAAAAAACAACACTATGTCGGTATCAGGGGACCCCAAAACTTATTCCGTTGAAATCTAGATTAGATTTTATGCAGTATTACGCAACTTTCCCTATACTATGTATATTACTCCGTATATTGTGAAGATACACATGTTGATTGCCGAAATTATGTGATGAACCGCTGACTAGCCACCACCGAGAGGGGGTTACCGTCACTTGTGTGTCGGTGGTTAGCAGATCTCATGCGTGCACGCTAAATTTCTTTAAGGGGGCGCCAAGCCTTCAACTTACCTCTCATGTGGTGCCGGCTTTGAGAACTTCATGGTTAGACGCTCTGGGTCAAATGGATGCATATGGTTTACTAATCTACTCTGATTTAAATAATACACTAGTAATACATTTATGAGTGTTTCCCGTCTGAGTGGCGAGAACCCGTTTATTTTAAAATAGAAAGACACAGAATCAAACTTTCAATACAGGTGTTCACTGAACTATTATAACTTTTCTTTCATACTCCTATTCTTGAATGCACAAATCATTCTCTTTATGGAGTTGGACAATCCTACGCGAGGATGACGGTGAGATAAATAGGAATGCCTCGGATTGCGCGTACAGTGGTCGTCTCGCGGGGCAGTTCCTGGCGTGGCGTCGCAGCTGTCTCTGCAGCGTGGGCGACATCTGGTGCTCCCTTGTCACTCGCCCAGGACCTCTCCGCTACCCGCGAGCTTTTCCAGATGAGTCCAGATGTCGAAAATTCACAGATTGGGTCGTCATACGTCACCCTTCGGCACTTCGTCATTCGATACGACAGGCTATGCACTTCTTTGAGAGCTCTATTAATGCCAGCCTAATCAGCTCGTCGAAGGGAATTAATTTCGAGATTCGACTACTGAAGGACGGTCGAATTGCGTAGGCCGGCAGGCGCTGACCAATTGCGTCTGCAGCCGATCTCGTCGCCAAGTCATGTATGCCCAACGAGCTAGAATATGTACTACATAGAGTGGCTAAAGCGCCTCCATCTTTGAAGCAAATTGAAGTCATGTTGTTTGCTATCAAAGCAGCGTCCTCTGGAAATCAAAGTATTCTAGCATTATGTTTGGCGCTGGTTACGGACGGTTACAGGTAACACATGGTCGAAGGTTACACCGCCACTCGTATTTTTTGACTTGAAAAAACATGGCGGTGACTAGTTCGGCGAGCCTCCACCACGAACGCTGAAAATATAGGGACAGCCACCCTGTGTAGTATATTCTAGCTCATTGCATCTGCCTCTCTCAAGTGCGTTTTTGCAAGTCGTTTTTCCTTTCTCCGTTGCTTCCTCCCTTCCTTTCCCCTCTCCTCTAGGGGTCCCAAAGCAGCGTCACGTGAGTGAAAGCTAGACTCTTATTAGTCATCTCGACAGATTCTACAATTTTCCACTGATCTCGTCCGCAAATAGGTGTTAGGATACCCCTTTCCTGATCTACATACTTTCCAGAACGTTTAATTGGTCGCAATTCTGCCTCCGTGGGTGCGTGGCGACGCTGCGCGGTCAGACGACAGCTCCTTTACGCTGTCCCTCTGATGATTTCACGACGCCTCTTTTGGGATTTTTACGGGGAAGGGCTACTGGCTTCCTAACACGACTGTTCAGCTACTTCTTCCGACAGTCGGCAGGAACGAAGAATGAAACGGGGGGGTTGTGAGGGTCCCTTCCCGCTTTGAAGGGCGGTCCGTAGGGGTTGAGGACATGTGGAGGTGGCGGAGGCGCGCGGGTGCGCCTCTTACACGTGGCCGTGCCCAATAGAGGATGTATTGCTCTTCGTGCGCTGGTATTTTAATTCCCGTGGCAAACGGGTAAGTTGGGACAAGCGGGAGTCGATGAGACTCCCCGCCGGAATATATGGACGTATACGGAAAAGTGAAAATGATTGAATACAAGAGAAATAATGCGTTTTATTGTCCAACAACTACATAAACGCGATGTTCAAGTGTTCGGAAGTAAAGCACGCAGGTGAAAGAGAGCGCGTGGTCTAGCTGCTGAGGGTGAGATTGAAGGGAATGCTCGTGGAGTTGACTGCGGAGGCAAGCGCGCTCGTCACCTGCGACTCCACCGCCTTCAGGATGGGGCCCTTGAGGATGAGCGTGAAGAAGTTGACGAACGACTCCACGATGAGGTTGCCCAGGAACGTCAGGCCAGTCACATCAACCTTGATGCTCCTGTGGCAAGGACGTTTTAATAATAATAACAATGTATGGGCTCTGACCTTAGTTATACGTCAGGATACAATGATGGAAATAATGGACTATACGTCAAAACACAAAAACTTAATTACAAAAACTTAAAACTAACAAACCTTTTAAAATATTTTATTTATTCCTATATATGGCATTTTATTTTTTAATATCAAAATGACAATACATTTAAGAAAAACTACATTAGTTGTCTCCTTAAAACAAACAATAGTGATCAAAACCATCTTAGCCGATATATCAGAATAAAATATCATACTTCCCATAACCAACATGAATTATACGTTCTACTGGGTTAATAATTGCTTTACATTCTTGAATAAAAATAGAAATAGGTGTGTAAAATATTGTGGAAAATATAAAATTATCAATTTTATTATTGTCAAGAAATATTGTTTCAGCCACTATTTCATGAGTGTTTTTCTTTCACTTACTAAAAATAAATTAGGTTTGTAAGAAAGATTGATATCAAGACACCCATTATCACGTGTTACAAGTAACAATAACGTTTTAAATTAAGGGAAATTTTAATAATTGACTATTGTGCCTTTGAATATTTTAAAGAATTTTAAGTATTAATCACTTTTGATTTATTTTTTGCAAGTAGTATGTAAGTATGCGAGAAAGTAAAAATTCTATAACGTTTTACATAAATAAAGAGATCTCGCTTTATAAAAGGGAAAGTATTCCGAACTTTCCACTGAACTATCGCGAGAACATTGACAAAATAATATCGTTTATCGCAGATTCTTTAAGAAGTGAAGCTGGCCTGTTGTCAATCGATCACATCAGCTATTCCATATCTAAAAATATACATCAGATGAAAGTTGCAAGAACCAAATCTGCAATAAAACTAGGAGGTTCCCATTTAAAACTTCAAAGATCTAGACATTTCTCCATTTACGAATACTCGTAGTTTCCGGAGTCTACGAACACGATTTAAAGGCGTTAACAGTTACTTATATCAGTCACTCATTTTAATGGAAGTTTAGGGAGCGTGGAAATTTGAAGCAACTTTTCTCTAACGACAGTTAGCAGCTCCTCCGTCCTCGTTAGTATGTTAACAAGCGTTGGTGATTTCGATCGGCACCGAAGAAATATTTCATTCAAGAAAAATTTTTTTAAAGAAATATTGGAAATTGAATTTCAGATTACTTACTTGGCTGAGTTCAATTTGAATTCTTTAAGCGTTGCTTTCCCTGACAGTAATTTCACATCAATATTCAAATTTGCAGTAAGATTTTTGAGTATGGCCTTCACAGTTCCATGCGGTCCAATGTTGAAGAGCTGGTCTGCGTACTTGTAATTAATCTAGAAAAATATGAAAATGATGACTAATGTGATATACAGGAGTCACGTACTTTCACTTGCATGAACTCTTCACCCAACGTGTTTTTAACTAGATGACAAACCATATCTCAACTGGTTTTCCTGAAACATTGCAATTAATTACGAAACAATCTGAATTTTGCAACTGAGGGCAGAGTTTTACGTGGATTTTGTATCGTTCACCTCTACTATTCCTGTTGTGGAGTCAAGAGCCACAAGAAACTCACTGTTCATTCAAAGGCATTTCAACTCGAAAGCAAACTTCAATGTCGACATTAACTTACTTGACAATAAAAACATTGGAATCTATTTAGCAAAGAAAATGAACATAAACTTCAAGAGATATTGGCCTCCCTTCATCGAAAAACCCGATAGTGTCGCTTCTGTCGCGCAAACATCCTTTTATCACCACATGAGGAGAAGGGCGTGGCTGCGCTCACCACGAGCCGGTCGAAGGCGACGGCGGCGTCCAGGTTGAGCGAGCGCGCGTCGCTGGTGTAGGTGAGCTCGGCGTCGCTCTGGCGCCGCAGGGTGGTCAGGTTCTGCGCCTCGCCGTCGTACAGCCCCAGGCGCGTGCGCCACGGCAGGAGCAGCTTCTGCGCACGCACGCCGCCCTTCGCTACAGACAGCTCTTGCGTCTCCGGTGGAGCAATTACTAGCATTAGCCAACTACGATCCCGTTAGGGGCAAGGGCCTCCTGCCTTTTGCGGGGAGTGCTGTGTAGTGATAGGATGATGAGGAGGGGTGAAAGGACTAGGTGGCAGGTGGGATGTTGGGAGGGGAACGTGGCATTTTTTAACCACCTCCCTTACGACCGAGGGAAGCCACGAAAACCCCGGTCAAGATGGTCGGCCTGGGGATCGAACCCGGACCACTTCACTCGGTCTGCATTGCAGCAACACATCACAAAGTTTTGGGCCATGCAAAATTCAAAAATATAACCTCAAAGCACTAGCGTATGAACTAGGGTTGCCAGCCACTTGAGAGGACAACCCAAATGGTTGGCAACTCCATTTCCATTTGGAAGGACAGTCCTCCATTGACGTCAATTGTTCTCTCGTCCTCCTTTGTATTTTAAATGTCCTCCTGTTAGTAAATTTTTAACATTTGTTGTCATTGATTTTATAACATGACTAACATCTGCTGCGTTGTATCGTTAATTGTTTCATTTATAATAGAAAAAATGAATTTTCTTTTTTCTGAACGCTGACACATGCATGCGCGATCGTGCCTCTCTCTAGCGACTAGAATAAGAGACGCTCAAGCCATCTTCACCTGAATTTTGTGAACGAATCGTTGTACTTGAATTGCAATTGGAGAGAAGAAAGAAACAAAAGGAAGAGGAAAAAGAATATAAATTTTTAGTTTAAATTAAATATTCACAAAAAGAAATGTGTTGATGCGTTTCTTTGACTTGTCGAGTGTCCGTTTTACCTGAACATTGTTGGCAACCCTTGTATAAACATTGCCATGAAACCTAGGAAAAGTGGGAACATTAGATTTTCATAAATAAGACGAGAACATTTGAAAAAAAATTGAATTATTTTTAGTAAATAATTGTTCGATTTTTTAAAAATTGCTTACTTTCGCTAAAACTATTAATATTTTCTAAAAATTGTACATGGATTTATTTCAAGATTTGTGTTTGATCAACAAATATAATTTCAGAAAAAAGTCTCTAGAAATAGAGCCAATTATTTTTTCTTGTCAAGGTCACCATCAAATGTGATCACCTCCGTACGTGCCTTTGAAACTCCATTAAAACGCGATTTAGATGCTTATCTTTTCCTTGAAAACGTTTAATAATTCATTACAAAATTAGTGCCAATTATGGCCATTATGATAAATTAAATCGTAAAGATTCATGTGTATATGTCGGATTCAGTGTACAGTATTATGCAGCGTTTCGTCAGTGGCGTAAATACATTGAAACCATCAAAACGCGTGTTTTTCTACAATTTTCCCGGAGTATCCCCAATGAGATGGAAATGGACAATAAAGTATAAATCGAAATGCCTTGTCGAGAGGAATTGAATGATTGGCGACCTCTGCAAGAGCTGTCACCCATGTCGTGTTTCAATTGCTTAAAAATCCTGATGGCGAAATCCAAAAGGCATGATTTCTAGGACAATTTCTTTGAAAATCCTGGATGGATAGGCAAACAATTATCAGTAACCCTCAGATGAGCGAGTCGTGTCCAACGACACGTAATTTCTGGACCGGGAGCAGGTTACTCGATTACTACTCGTATACAATCTTGTTTTGAAATAAATCAATTTTAGCACACTTTCCTGCAAATAATGCTTTTGCAGTATATTAAATAATTCATCAGTAACTTGACACTTTGATATTTTGTTTTAATGTAGCTGGCTTACTGATCAGTTATAGAAACAAACTAGTAATAACTTACTCGACTTTAATTTCCAGAGTACTAACCCATTAGTGCCCAGGGTAACAATAATTCCGACAACGGCGCAGGGGCGTTGTCTCTGCAATGATTTGCGAATTTTATTTCTTCCATAGAAGTAGGAATCCTAAACGCAACATCTAATCAATTTTTTTCACTCATGAATGCCAGATGTCGATTTAGCCGTGATCTCTAAGGCATTGTATATTCCTGTTCAGGGTGTACATATGACTTACGCCGGTTCGAATTATCTTAAACCGTTCTTACCTGCTATATGCCCGTGGTTAAGTCGGAGGTCAGTAGAAAGCAAACGGTGGTTGGTCCGCACCCAAGTTGACGGGCATATGCAGCTAAGTTCTAACAGTTTTGCTACTTTTTTGTAAACAAAATAGCTCATATAAACAACGGTTTGCGCTTTGGTGCTCTAGTAGCAAGTATTTAGCAACACAACAGTTGGTTAGCTCTAAATGCTGCAAACACTTGCTCCTCCTGTGCGCACACGAACGCGATAACACTGGGCGAGAGCTATGCTCACAAAATCATTCTGAGCACTAACGGGTTTAAGTAAAAAAAAAGGTAGAATGATGATACATCACGCCGTCTACTTTCTTTCCGAGTTTTTGCATAAAATAGTTGAATACTTAGTGTCCTCTGACGCATTAATTTCTATCGACATTCTTTCCGTAGTTGTAAGGAATGTATGTATTATTCCCGTCGTAATGTGTTACGTTTAAGATAATAAGTTAAAGTACGTTAAAGATTGAGCGAGGTCCGTGTGCCTTTTGTTATGGAACTGTTCTGGTTAACGAGCTAGAATATAGTAGTAGATGGAGTGACTGTCCCTATAGTGTCAGCGCTCTTGGTGGAAGCTTTCGAACTAGTGGCCGCCTCGTTTTTTGATTAAAAAAAAAAGCCTACGAGTGGCGGTGTAACTGTCCGTACCCAGCGCATGACACAATGCTATACTGCGACTTTCGCAACTCTGCCCCTGGCAGATATCAGCTGTTGACAGTTTCATACGATCGGGAGCTTAAACGTCACCATAGTGACGTCACTATTGCGACGTACAAGCTTCCGATTGCATGAAACTGTGAACAGCTGAGACCTGCCAGAAGCAGAGTTGGATAAATAGCAGTATAAATACTTTGTTTCTCAGAGGGAGCTGCTTTGACTGCAAAACGACATGGCTTCAATTTGCTTCAAAGATAGAGACTTCATCCACTCTATGTAGTACATTCTTATCACAGTATTAATACAATATTGTTACTATATAATATTGTTACATTGTTCATATTGTAATATGTTATATTTTTTCTATATATTATATAATTTTTAAACTGGATATATTTTATTTATGTCCCTCGGGTCGCTCATGAACAACGAGCTAGTTTGCTGTGTGGCAGTCCCAAGTTCGATTCCAAGCCGGGGCAAAATGTAGGAGCTTTCGAATAAAAATCGTTCCCGTTTCTACAGTTGAGTGACGAAAGAAAAAGCCCAGGCGGTCGCGTAAGCTATGTATAGTGATGGGATTACGTCATGTTCGCCACATGACTCCCTTACCCCCAGGCGTGGATAATAAATGAAGTAAGATCCAGGCCTGAGACCACAGTTAGTTGACAAAAGTCGGATAAATACGACTAAAATGCCAACTACATTCATTGATTTACATTATATTGATCGGGGATATCAAATCAAATGGCAGTGGAATAGCATTTTCCAAGCGTTCATACTTACGAAAGTCAAATTGTATAAGATCTTATCGTCAAGTTCATATGGCTCCAGATGATTGTCCACCAGAAACACTCGCGCTTGTTCCAATACTCGATCCATGTAGTCATTAATATTTGCGGAAGAATCTCGTTTTCTGGAACACAGCATTTGTCATTCAATTGGAGATGTGTTTAAAATATAACATCACTTCATGCGTAATACAAACCACTAAGTAACGTTTGTACGTAGTTGATTAACGATTCAATAATAAACCTATAAAACCCAATCCATAAACTTCTTATTTTCATTTTAATTTACAAGAAATATGAATGTGCAAAAAATACATTTTACTTTCCCATGTACATACGTATATACGGAGTAATGTACGTAGTAAACGCGCAGTAAAAGAGCATGTGACAAGTTCGTATAGCTACCCGAGACCAAAGAAAATAGAAAACGAACACGAGAAAGTCTGTGCCATTCTGTAGCACCACTACTTTCTTCAGTGTAATAAGAGTAGTAATTAAAATTTTAATGCAATAATTAAAAAAAAACTGGTACGAAAAAGTATGTTCCATTCTGTAGCCTCATGTCCTCTCATTGCGCAGAAACAGACGCGCGCGGCGATGTGTCAACAGTCATTTAAACAATACAGTGCAGACCCAGCGGAGTGTTTTCGGCTCTGGTCACAGTTGCCATGTCACGGTGCTTCCACGTGCCTTCAGATTTGGCTCCTAGCGATTATGCCCTTTTGGACGCAGTGGAAGACGTCATGTCCTGTAAATGTTCACCACCACTCACGAAGTTCATGCAGTGGTCAAAGTGTGGCGTTGGGATATACCCAAAGAATGGCTACGCAAATACGAAAGCTGCCAGAATGACGGCAAACGAGAATAGAATTAGGAATTAAGAACAAAATTTATACAAAATGTTGAGAGAACGATCGTTTATCAACCTCTCCCCTTTCTCGGACCATTCGTTACAGAAATGGGCTAAAAGCGAGCGATGTTAACGCCCTCGTAAAGTCATCCTGCGCGCCCATCGCCTCTAAAGCTGAAGTGAAGAGCTGTAACGGCGAGAACTACTTTAACGACTTGGGGAGTAGTCTTTCTCATCTAGGAGCGTTTCAGAGCACTCGGATTCCTTATTGCGCAGTCCGACTTTTTTTAAATAATGAGTGTTTTGTGTTACTCACCTATACTTTTGTTTATTATTCTAGGACCGAGGTGGGATAGGGATAGCTATTAAGATACATCGCCGTTTTGAAACTAGTGGTGCTACAACATCATTTGCATTCAAGCATCACGAACGGCTATGTAATATTGTAATAACGCAGTTTCTGTCCTTACTGAGACATTGCAGCTACCTCTTGTAAAACGCACTACGAATAATAGCGCATGAGGCCCGTAAATTAATGCTAATACATCAACACAAATTCGACAATCCATATCACCGTTCCATTCATCCAGACACACCGCTAAAAATGAGAATTTCAAGCTGTCGTGTCACAGCGTATTTTTTTCGCAATGCAACCTGATATCTCCTGAAAGGTTCTAGCAAGATAAATGCAGGAAATTCAAATCTGCAATTTCAAAAACGTGCAAAACTACTAATATTTTTCAAAAGTTGCACATGATCTATTTTAAAGAGCTAAATTTTTTACCGATTTCATTTAGGAAAAAAAATATCATCAGTATTGTACTTTTACATAGTTAATTTTTGATTGTTTGGAGTTGTAGAAATACAGTATTGTCGAAAATGGGAAATGCGCCACTTTCTTTATTTGCTACATCTTGATTATCTCTTCCCTCGTTATTTGCTACAAACAAGGAAACAATGTAAGGAAAAAATTGGAACAGTTTTAAAGAAAATAATTATTTAAACTTGTTTACGAATTGCCTTTGTTTCATGCAAAACTAGGCAAAAAATATTACTCGTAATTTTGAATAATTGTACAAGACCTTATTTCAAGATATATTTTTGATGAACAAATTTCATTAAGAAAAAAATCATTTTTGTAGTAATAGAGTGACACTGAAAATATTTTAAACTTTTGCAGTTTTCAAACATTCAAAGACTTCGATACGTTTATCTGTTGTTTTGTACATAAGAGGGGGAAAACGATAAAATTAAACCCATTTTGGAGAAAATTATTTTTTTAAAATTCCTTATGTTTCACGCAAAGTTGAACAAAACTACTCGCTTTTTTTCGAACATGAACTAATTACACGATCTGGATCTAAGCAATAGACTTAACGCCGAAAAAATTTTGACCTTTTGTAATGTTCCAAAAGTTAGAAATTTCAACGGAAATGAGACCAAGACATTTTAAAGATTTTTACGTTATCTGAACAAAAGAAAGTTTCGAAACTTCTGAGAATCTAATGAAAATCGGCCATTTTTATACGCATACTTATCTCTATCCGATAATAAAACTAATCCAAACATTTTGAGTCATTTTTTAGAATATGTTGAAAATATCCTTGGGGATAAATTTAAAGTATGCCCCAAATTTAAAATATGCGTTTTTCATTAAGGAACATCAGCCGGATCCATTGGGGATTATCAGTTTCAATTGAAATCCTGCTTAAGATTTACCCGCTGTTTTTCACAGACAGGCAGATGGACGGACGAAAGACGTTTTTGCCGTAAATCAATTTTTCGGTATCAATGTCTCACAAACCCGAGAAATCTGACAGTATAGCATGTTACAGGAAAAAATTTACTACACATATGAACAAGAATTATCCATTTTTCGGTGGTTGGGGAAAACTTTGCTAGCCGATGGCAGGTTGGCTCCGGATTTCGCCATCCAGCGGGTTGAGATCACCTCCAGCACTCAAGGGAAAACTGTACTACACATACGGAACTAATGACCTTCGCAGTTGATGCACGCGAATCCTCACCCACCCACCCAACCAACTACCCCATTTTTCGGTGTCAATGAAGTATAATACGAATTTCGTGCCGAAAAATCGCTTCAGCGTTTAATACACATATGTAGAACGCGAGAAGGTAAAGTAATGATTGTCACGCGTCGATGAGCGGCGGCGGCAGGCGTTACCTGCGGGGGAATCCCGGCCAGTCGCCGTCGGCGGCCACCGACGCCAGCAGCGCTGCCGTGGCCAGCGCGAAGAGCAGGGCGCGCGCGGAGGACTTCATGGCGACGTGGAGTGTGCGCCGGCACCCGCGCGCCGCGCTTTAAGGCCCCGCCCCCTTCCCGGAGTGCCCCATTGAAAAAACTAGTACACACAGATATAAAACATACGGTAATTAATAGTCCTCGAGCAACGACCTTAGAAACCATAGCAATAACAACCAAAATAAATAACAAGACACCCAACAATTATATCCTGCGTATAAACCTCCAAAATAAGCTATTCCTTAGAAAAATATAACTGAAATTTTTGGAAAATAACCGATAATATCAGGCTAATAGGTACCTAATAGTAAACACTGCGGTTGGGGATGCAACACAAACAACTCCTCAAGGGCAAAATTTACTACAATCTAGCTACCACTCTCAATTTAAGTTATTAGGGGCCACAATAGAACCCACCCATTACCCTTAAGCAACAATAATATAATTCTTGACATATTAGAGATCCTTCATCACAAAAATATGATTTTCCGCTATACCAAAAAGTATCCTGAACTCGCACTCGGATCACAATCCAAATAATCATAATATTTCATCCTCTCTATCTATCATCTTATTATAAACAGCAAAAAGGTAAAAGTTAACTGGTTAAATTCGAGAAATTTTAAAATTAACTACAAACATCCGCAAATAACATTTCAATCCGAAAAGACTTAAGATAATGAAGTAAAACATTAGTCAGCCAACATACAAGGATCCCTCACAAATTCTACCACATATCTCAAAACTAAAACCCAATAAAAAGCAACAAATCCAATAAAAATCATAAACCTTAATTAAAAGTAACACAATTTAAGACGCTATTGCAAATGACACGACACCAGACTTAAAAAAGAAAATAAACAAACTGACGAGACTAGTTAAAAACTAAACGAGACCAAAATAGATATGCAAGCTTTCAGAGCATATGTAGTCTACCATGCATAGATAAAAAGACAAAACAAGAATTTCCACAATAAAAACTAGGTCACAAGTGGCAAATTCTATGATTTTGAGAAAACATCTCTTATAGCTGACTACCTGAAAAGTCGTTCAACCCAAACCCAGTCCGAAAAGCGATACTTTAATAAACAATAGAGGAATTTAATCAGAAAACACTATATACAGCTCCAGTCCAATATTAAAGTACATATCCCCATCAGAAATTAAACAAAGAAATCAAAAATCAAAACTAAAGAAATCAGCAGGATTACGACTTTATTTCCTAAGTAAAGTTCGTAAAAGAACTAAGATAAACAATTCGATAGCAGGCATTACAGCAATATTTAACGCAAGCACTCAGAGTAGGTACTTTCCCAACGATGGGAAAATCGCAACAAGTGCTACCTTCCGAAAAGCAGAAAAGAATCCAAAAGATCAAGCGAACTATAGACCAATAAGTCTACTCCCGTCTTGTCGAAACTAGTTAGAGAAAAACTGATACTAAAACGATTAATAAAATTCATTGACCAACACACATGTAATCCCAGACACGCAATTTGGATTGCGACCAACCACTCCACAACACATCAAATATTACGGCTTACTTTTAATATATAGCGGCAAGGACTCCATGCCAAAACAACACACTATCGCAATATTCCTGCGACATCACCAAAGCGTTGACAAAGATATGCATTCCAAGGCCTTCTCTACAAATTAAGACAAATAGGCACTCCAGACTACTTATTCCAAATTATTAAAAGTTTTTCTTAAACCAAAGAAAGTTCCAAGTCAAAATAATGCATGCCATAATTCATCCTACGCCAGATTTCAGCAGGGCTGCCCAAGGTCCCCATTATCAAACGGTATTATTCAATTTATTATATATCCGATTATTCCACACCTAAATAGATTCCCCAAATACACTTTACGGGTGACGACCACTGCACTTTTTTCCAAACATGGACCATTGATGACAGCTAGAATAACTTACAAAGACAACCCTTGACATATTCAATAAATTAGGCAAAAAATTGGAGAATTTAAAATGAATCCATATAAAACACAGGCGAAAACATTTTCACCCTAGACATGCCCCTCACCCTCCGCAGTTAATTTTGAACAACGAAAATATTCCTGGGCTGCAAATAATACAGCAGCCCAAATATTTAGGAATGCAACTTGGGGAACTAAATTAAACTGAAAAAACACACATTTACACAACACGAACAAAAACACAAGCCAAAACTTTCCCAAACTTTTACGCACTAATAACAAAAAAATCCTCCCTTAAAAAGAGACCGAATGATAATTTACAAGTCTATAATTCCGGACCAAACTATTGACTTATGCATGCCCAATATGGGGAAATGCCAGCAAAATCTAATAAACCTGTTGCCAAACTATACAAAATAAACCTAAGAACTATAATTAAAGCGCCATGGTTTATTTCGAAACAAGCAAATCCACCACGAAACTGCCAAATTCGACAATAAAAAACACATTACCAAACTGTCCGAAGACTTTTTCACATCACTCCCTTCATCTCCAGCACCTCCATTTTCAACCTTGGACGCACAGCAGAACGAAACTTACGGCCATCAACTACGCTTCCCTTAAAGACAGATCAGACCACCATAAAATCCATTAAAATAGGCCTCAAATAAATAACCTTCATCGAATAATCATATCAACGATCAGTCTCTGACTCTTAGTATTAATTCCGCTAATAATTTTAAAATTTATTAATAAAATAATAATAATAATAATAATAAATAATAATAATAAATAATATTAATAATAATAATAATAATGTGAACCAATCATCCACCGTGGAAATTGCCAAAGCAGCTTTGAACCAAAGCACATAACTGGAAGCACCAGGCAGGATGGCTTCACAATTATTGGACTCAAAAAATTTACCAGCACTCACCATCATATAGCTAATATAATTCAATCATTTTCTTCACAATCCAGAAAATCTACCCTCTACTTCCTCACTGAAGGCTAGACATTTTTTTACCAAAAGGAGGCGTGGACACTAAAGGACCCTCGAAGTTTACAGGCCCTATAACCTGCCTTCAAACTTTCTACAAACTCATAACATCTTTGTGTTTCGCAAATGATGATGACACACATTCAGGAACAGAACATCATTAGCAAATGAACAGAAAGGATGTAACCTGCGATGCTCCGGGATGCAAGGAGCAACTCATTATAGACTTCTGTAATTATGGGCAAGTGCTTGAAAAACAAAGAAACTTGTACGCATGCCTAACATAGATTACCTAAAGCATTCCGACACCGTGCCCCATTCTTGGCTCCGTCAATGTTTGCGATGTATACAAGGTCCAACCCTTATCAAAACTTCCTGAAAACTGCCGAGAGTCGATGCGAATTACAAAACTGTATCTCTCGTAAGGAAAACAATCGCTCCACACAGATACTATACACATCCGCCGAGGGATTTTCCAGGGTGACTCTTTTAAGCCCTTATTTTCCTGTTTAGCCTTGGAATCCCCTCTCTACTCTACTTAATTTCATCTAATTATGCGAATCGCTCTTAAAGAAGGGGAACTCAAACTCTTCTTCGTTCTCACATCTCCTTTACATGGATGACCTGAAGCTCTATGCAGACACTGAGATCATATGGCGGCAACTGAATAAACTGACGGAGAAGTTCACTGAGACATTAGATGAAATCCGGTTTGAATAAATGCAGGAGAGTGAATATCATTCGGGGTCATATGCGTTATAAATTTGGAACTATAATGAACCAAAGATTACCTTCATGGAACCCCATGAAACTTACAAATACTTGGGTTTCCAACAGTCACTCCGAATCAAACACACTGTTACTAAAATATACTAACAACTAAGGGTGAAACGATTGCATGGACTCTTAAAAAACTCAACTCCTCTAGAAACCTTGTGCAGGCCATCAATTCATTGTTATTCCAGTGCTGACATACTCCTTTGCGTTATTAAATGGGCAGCCAATACAGACCTCGCACAACCTTCCAGAGAACAATTCGAACCGCCTATGACTCAACACCGCAAAAACATCATCCCCATCAAGTACTGCAGCGTGTTTACGCTTCCAAGGTCCGCGGAAAGGAGGCGAGCGTAATGTAGATCTCATAAAGCTACACAGCCTCTCAAATTGCTTCACTCAGAAACACTTCTTTGGAAACATTGTGGGAGGTTCAGCACAGCAGGTGAGCGCAGTTGATAATAACTATAGTCCTCTGGAACTTGAAAAAGCTTGGATCCGCCTATTCAACCAATCATTGAAACGGAAAAGAGAAAGATAACCTTATGCGAAAGCAAAGGCACTGCAGGAAGGTACCTCACCAGCTGAGTTAAACCAAGAAGTCGACATCTCTGCGTCGCACCGCCATGGCTCCAGCGCGGGGATCTCTTTCCGGAACAGAAGCCTTCATGTAAGCTATCCAGGACCAAGTGGTACCAACATGAACTACAGAAAACACATTCTGAGAGATGCCACCATTTCATTCCGACTCGGTGTAGAAATGTTGAGCGCTGCAAGCCGAAAACTATACAAACCACGTACAAGTGGATGTAGCAAGCCACGCACAGGTGCGAATACAAAAAAGCATGATGAAGTGGGAAGCAGGGCTACACCAATTATTGCGTTGAGAACGGGCTTACTCGCCACTCCGTGCCGTAAATTATAAAATAATGTGCCTCAGAATGTGCCTTGAAAGTAGTGAGCACACACTCTACTCGGCATCGTTTCCATTATCACTGACAGACATGTCGGCGCGCAAATAGACCCGATATTAACGACATTGATAGAACCAAAACAGCAGGTTTTCCTTATCATATATCAATACCAATACCACAACATATCGGGAAAATATCAGAGAAGATCAGAAGTATACCGATCTCGCCTATGAAGTCGCCAACTCAGTGGAACTTCAAGTAAAGTGACAACTGGGCTAAATAATAATCAGCTACGGAGCTAGATCCCGAAAAATGACACCTTCGGCACTGAGTTCTTTCACTTGGATACCAGAATGTATGATAATATGCAAAAGACAGAATTTTGAATACATAGCCGTAGTGGCA